AACAACATCATTTCTCTGTCACCAAATGTCAGTTTCTAACTCAAATGAAGGCTTAGACTAGATCTATGATGTTCGGTGAGGCCTCAGTGCTGCCGGGTAACTTGAGGTTACTCTCTAGGTCCAAGTGCCTGGGCTGGTGTCAGCCAAGGTGGTGTGGGGAGGGGCTGGCGAGCATGGTGTTAGTATTCCCTTATCTGTTCACGAGACCAGTTCCAAACTAGCTCAGAAATGTCCAGCACTGATCCAAGAGGAACAATATTTGTTAATTCCACAGTTAACAAGCCCAAGCTGTTGGTGAGTTAGAGGAATGCCTTCCTGTGTGTGTGTGTGTGTGTGTGTGTGTGTGTGTGTATTGGGGGGGCGTAGTTTAACGCTGCAATATTGTATTTGATAAGGCTCACATAGGCTCACAGTGCTTGTAAGGTGGGGGTCCTCAGCTTCTTGGCAACCCTGGAGCAGCTGAGCATGGCAGCTGTCCTGTCCTTGCCCTCTGGCCAGATGATGCTCCCAAACAGGGGACACTATAGAACAGAAATGACATCATGGATTTTGATGACACTGACCTGAGTCAAGACAGTGTGTCACTTGGACTTGCTACAGAGTGAAGATTGCTGGCTCGGGAGTCAGAACAGCCTGGATCCCAATACTCCCAGCTCCGCCACTTGCCAACATTGTAACCCTAGGTCAGTGACTGACTTAACTTTTCTGGCTTTCCCTCTCTCCCCTCCGTAATACAGGGGTAATAGTGACAGACCTCAAAGGGCACTTATGAGGATCAAATGAGATGACATATGTGAAAGGTTTAAGCCTGGACCTGGAGTAACCTTGAATAAATTTAGCCATTAATATATATCCTTGAGGCCCATTTGATCTTACCACAGGTTATTATAATTTTTTCTTCATTTCAGCCTCCGGTTTCAAACAAAGATCTCTTGCCTAAACAAAGTGGTTCAGCCTTCAATAAAGTTCTGAATTAAGGGTGTTTACAAGAAAATCATATGTGTTGCACTTTTTTAATGCAGTCTTCTCAGATGCTTTTTTTAAAAGTGAGAAAAGATCTCATGCACTAGTGCATTTTTTTTTAAGTTGATAAAATTATAGCACAAAATAGGCTTTGAGATTGCTATACAACAGGGCTCGGCAAAAATCTCCTGTAAAGGACCAGATAGTAAATATTTTAGGCTTTGCAACCTCATGGTCTCCACTGCAATTGCACTGCAAGAAGAGCCCTAGACAACAGCACAAATAAATGGGTGTGCTTGTGTCCCCACAAAACTTTACTTCTGGGAATGGAAATCTGAACTTCATAGAATTTTCATATGTCAAGACATAGTCTTCCTTTGATTTTCCCCCCCAAATATTTAAAAATGTAAAAACCATTCTGAGCTTTCTATCTACAAAAACAGGTGGAGGGGCACCTGGCCCACCGTTCCATCAGTGGCCCACCCCACTCCCCAAGGATGAAGGTACGTAAAGATGGCCCTGGCCCGTGTGGCTCTGCTGCTTGGGTGTCGTCCGGTGCACTGAAAGGGCTCCTATTGGGACACATGTCTCGGTTGTGGGCTGTATCCCCGGTAGGGGACATGAGGAGGGCAGCCGATCAACGTTTCGCTCTCATGTTGATGTTTTTCTCTCTCCCCCTCCTTTTCTCACTAAAAATCAATTAAAAAATCTTTCTAAAAAAAAGATATGCAAAGATGTATGGGCCCCGCGAGCAAGTTATGAAATAGATTAGGAAACCACATCAGAAATTTAGTTCTAAACCATCTACTATAAAACAGGATTTTGTTACTCTTAAACCACATCTAAATGAGTTTAACTTTCTCGATGTGAAAGCCTCCGTAAGCGATAATCCCATGGTTATGTGAAATAGCAAGGTTAAAAACCTTTCATGGATTTTATGATGTATGATGGGTATTTCTGAGTGAATGACTATTTTGCCTTTCTAAGAGATGAATAATGAATGAAACTGTTGCAGTTTATCGTAGGTGAATGTTTTAAACATTCTGGATATTTAAACACTGAAGAGCAGAGCCAGCCCTTCCCTCAGCGGCAGTCAGCTGCTGCAGGGTCAGGCCCTTCCCTCTCACAGCTCCTTCTCCACCCCAGCCTGTATTGCCCCGAACCTCCAGTGCTGGGGTGAGAAAGTGGGGGTGGCAAAGGCTGCTCAATCCCAGACTGAGCTTTGGGTACAACACGGGATGACCAGGACACACCCAGCTCCTCCTACCTCCGTAAGACTTCACCCAGCGGGTCTCCCACCTCCGGGCACAGAGGCCCCCTTCGGAGGCTTGGAGTCCAGTGCCCTCACTCAAGTACCCTCCCCAAAGAAAGACAATCAGAATAGGGTCTGGTGTGGGGAGTCCCGGGAGTCAATTCCTTAGTATTTTCCCTTGAGCACTGAGAATCTTGTAGAGAGGAAAGGGAGAGCCCCTGTCACCCATGGTGACTATGATCGGCAGAGACCAAGAGACAGAAGCACCAGGACTGACAGCCCCAGGGGAGACATGTCCTGCAGAGGCACCCCTAGCCCAGCATGGTGGAGGCTGCAGGCAGGGAGGGAAAGGATGCACTTTAAAGGCCCCAGAAAGCCGGGATCCCGTTCATCACCACAGTCCCGTCGCAGTCTGAGGGATCCCTTTGCATCCCACCCACCATCACCCCGAGGTGTGGAGAGGGGTCTCTGGGCTTGAGTTCCTCACCTGACCCATCTCTTGCCTTTCCTGGAGAAGGGGGTCTTTGTGTCCCTCTTGCCTCCTAAGACTTTGTCCATCCTTTCCCAGCCTCAGTCACAGCATGGGGCGGGGAAAGGAGAAGTGCCCTTCCATTCCTCTCACCTTCAGAGGGAAACATTCTCAGCTTCTTGTCCTTGAATGAGAGGGTGTCAGACATGGGGCCCCAGCTGGCACTGACTCCCAGACTCTTCCTTGCCTTCCCTGGCTCCCCCACCACATACACACACAGAGTGTGGCCCCCAGAACAGAGAAGTGGTGGGAGGCGCAAGCATTAGGGAGTTATAAGAAAGGGTCAGGAGGGGCCCAGGAGGGGCCTGGGGCAGAGCAGAATCAGGAATGGCACACCCCTCCTCCCAGATTTCAGCTTGGCTCCAAAGGTGAGGCTGGGATAGACCTGGGCTTTCTGCTTCCCCCCCCCCATATTGCACCCTGTGTCCCCCAGCTGTTGCCCAGTGATGACTGCTGGAGGCAGGTTGGTGGTGGTGTAAGAACTGAGAGGCCTGGGGAAAGACAGGGAGGTGGGGAGGGGAGGGAGGTGGGAGAGACCCGCAGGGCAGAACTAGGCAGAGGCTGGGAGGGCTCTGCAGGGCGGGGCTGGGGGGAGAGCACCAGCTGGGAGCCTGGAAGCCTGGGTTTTGCTCATAGATTCGCCACCAAGGAGCTGGTGAGCCACTGGGCTTGTCTGAGAAAGTTTCCTAAACAAGGCCACTTTGAGGCAGGGAGAATCATTTGTCCACACTGAGCCATTGAGAGGACACTAAAAGGTCCTACCGCAATGCTTTTTTGTTGTTTGTTTGTTTAAATTCTCACCCAAAGATATGTGTTTTGTTATTTTAAATTGATTTGACAGAGAGGAAGGGAGAGAGAGGGAGAGACATCCATACTGGTCACAACCAGGGGTCAAACCCAAAACCTGGGTATGTGCCTTGACTGGGAATCAAACCCTCAACTTTTTGGTGTACAGGACGACACTCCAACCCACTAAGTCACCTGGCCAGGGCCCCACGGCAGTGCTTTTTGAGTTCTCATAAATACTTTTAATAACATCCTTCCCTGCTGCCAGGCCGCTGTCCTCTTTGCTGTAATTCTGACTGGAAGAACACTTCAGAAAAACATTTAAGTTTGCACATTTGCACTTTTATTTCTGAGAGGTGAATCATTTCAAAATTATCAAATGTTTTCTTAATATTTGTAGTACAAGAGAAAAGGTAAATATAATTTACATATAAATACATACAGGAATATCAATAAAAACATTACAGCTGATAATTCCAATACTTAAGATATTTTACCAAAGCATTGTTGTACACAGCAGTTAAACACTATCATATAGGCCTGAATTATTTCTCTTTCAACTACAAGTCATTTAAAGATAAAATATAATTTATTTAAATAGAATACAATGTCAAGTCACAAACCCTTTTCATGTTTCATATCCAAAGCTTTTAAATGGTTATTTTCATTCAATTTTAATTTTAAAGCGTATCACACAAGAGCTCCACTCTTTTCGTTGATGCACTTTTAATAACACCAGAAAGCCTCCCTTTTCTGAAATATAGAATCTTCTCATTAATATGGAATCAGATGAAAGTATAAATAAGATAGTTGAAACCTGACATAAGCATTAGATTTTCTAGAAAAATTAAATAAAACATAAAGGAAAAATATTAAAGCCATTTTAATGTTGTCAGGACAACAGATCATTATTTTTAAATCCCTGAACGCTGGATCTAAGGAAAGCTGAAAAACATTTTCTTTTCATTAAAAAGCATAATATGATCCTTTAAAATATCCTTTATAATACACATCTACACCTGAAGAGTTCCACACCTAGTCCAAAAAAAAATCATGCAGTTTCACTAAAACGTGAATTTATAACTTTTTACAATTGTTGGGTGGTTTTTATAAAAATAAAGCAGTTTCCTTAGGAAAAAATATTCTGCCAATTGGAAAATCTTCATTCGGGAAAACAAAATACTTTTTCCTCTGAAAATAATGAAGTCGAGTCCCTGGCCACATGAACATTCATCGACCTACTCAAATGAAAACACATTACAAACTAGTTTCTTTCATGAACACAGTCTGAGGGAGCTTCTGGAAACGTCCCCAAAACGTTAAGATTCACAAGCAAGCGTCGGCGCCCAGAACTGGGCTCGCAGAATCGGCTCCAACACCGCCAAATGCATCCGTCCAAAGGCACGGGGAAGCGGTGGCCTTCCACAGGCTGTCGCATCACCTAATTTCCTCTTGCTCCCAACCGTGTACTCACAAATGTTTGAATTTATATTTAAACTCGATATCATTTAACGGTGGTAAAACCCCCAGGCCTGCGCGGGACTGGTCCAAAGGGGGACATTTAACGTGGCTCTCCACAAACTCTAGTTCAAAATAGGAAAGCATCAGAATCAAAAACTGCTTGATTTCCTGGACAGCAAACAACCTCCCAGGACATATTGTCGCTCCGGACCCGAAGGGCATGTAGTAATACTTTAACTTGAGTCCGTTGTTGTAGAAGGTGGTCTTCGTCTTCCCATTTTCATCCAGATAGCGATCATATTTAAATGTCTGCAATGAAAAGGCAAAGAAAACAAAACCTATAGGCTATTTGTAAATAAATGTACCTCTTTCTTGACCTGGAAGCTCCAGAGAATGATTTCCTTTTTTGATCTAAGATATTAGTAATTTAGCAAATACCCCACTATGAATCAGAAAGCAATGAGGAACCGGAGCTTAGCAAGAACCCGTGGGAACAAGAAAGCTTTAGGGTGCCTAGTTCCTCGGCTGGGCAGAACTGGAAAGAAGAGCTCAGATCGGAAACTAGAAAAGTCAGTATATTATTGGCCTCCAACCTCTAATTTCCTGGATTTGGAAGCAGGCACTTTTCAAGGGAAAGGAAAGGAAGCAGCTTTTTCACCGTGACGGCCTATGTATGACCTACAGAGATTATGTGATGACAAATATCAGGAAAGAAATGAAAAGTTCAGGCCATCGTCCGGGTTTTCCAAAACATATGAATGTTTGACATAATAAAGGAGACAATCCCTATGGCTTCAATAATCAAATCAATTGTGATACGGTAATTTTCTCTGTATTTCTATCTGGGTAGATACACAGGCACTTACCAGAGGGTCTGGGTAGATTTCTGGATCCAGATGCATTAACTGAGGATACAGAGCTATGATGTCGTCTTTGCGGATATTAAAGGAACCGTCCTGGAGGTGCAAAGTGAAGTCCTCTTTAGCAGTCCGGATGTTCAGGGAGGCGCTGGATAGCCTCAGGGACTCCTTGATGATACTATCTAAATATTTTTAAAGGAAGAAAGGAGAGGAGGGAGGGGAAAAGGGTGAGGGGAAGGAGGAAAGGCGGGAGGGAGGAAAGAGGAAAGAGTAAATTAGGTATTTAAAGGCCACACAATATAGAGTCTGAAATACTTCTAGCAGCCCATAGCACACAGCTAAACAGACTGTGGGAAGCTGACGAGACACACATTTCCCAGGCTTTCTTCTGTTACCACTATGCTATGATCAGCGACTCAGTTGTGCCTGAATGTATTTTTAAATATGAGTTAATAATAATCTTTTGATAAAGATATAATCTTCTCAATGAATAGAAACTAGACTTCCATAATTTCATAAAAAAATCATCTTATTTATACATGTCACTAGACATCCAATACAATTGGGAAGATCAATAAATCCCTTTTATCTGAAATGATTCAGTGTATCGTTTTTGAGATTTAGTCTACTGACAATACTTTAATATAGAAATATTTTTCCAGATGTTCAATGCAGCTTCAATTCAGCATTTGCAAGAGCCCGTTTGGGTCTTTACACTATCTGATGCTGGGTGACAGTGCCAGGTAAAGATGGAAAGGGACCCTGTGAGCAGCTGAAATATACCAACTGATGAGAAGGCCCAGCCTGACCTTCCAGCCTCTGTTTTTTTAATTGTCATGTTTTGGGAGCTCCTCAGATAATCGTGTATAAAATCACAGTATGTTAGCACTTTATTTTACAGATGAGAAAAGCAAGGCCCCCGGAAGTGAATGACATGTCTGAGGTCTCCATGGTGAAGCCCGATGCGGAACCTAAGCTTCTGTCTCCTAGTCCCTTCCACTAACATACATGCCCCCTAAAAGCATACATTGCTTTCTTTCCTATAGACAACAATAACAAAAACAAAAGCAAAACTGTTTCTTACTCTAAAAGTGTAGCTTTTTGTGTGTTTTATAAAATATGCAGAAGCAAAAATAAGAAAAATAAAATAAACTTCAATCCCATTATTCAACCCATGCATCTAATTGTCGCTTCTCAATGGTGCTTTTTCCCTCCCTTGATTGCATGGAAATGAATATGCCCCCGATTAACTGTAAGATTAATGTAAGAGTAATTACAAAAGAGACAGAGTTCGGAAGTGCAGAGAAGTGGTTGGGCGTGTGGGGTCAAGAGCCCCATCCCATTAACATCGTAACTGGTTCCCCCATTGCATCCTAGACAGCAGCTTGGCCTGTAAGTGTCGGTGTCCTTACTCGTCATAGGGAAATACTAACAGTCCCTAATCCTAGGATTGCGGTGAAGATGAAAAGAGACAACGCGTGGGAAATACTTAGCCTGATGCCTAGAACAAGTGAGTGCGTAATGCATACTGACTGTTACTGCTAGTAGGAGGCAGGAAATGAAATGTAACCTGGACAGTGAAGCATACCTAGTACGGGCATGTCATTCAGTTGCATTTGATTCAAACAAATAGGTTTGTCGTCTAAGCTGACTTTTTGACCAGCACTCTTTAGTATTTCATTCACTTCTTCAGTAGCTGCTTTCATTGCTTCAGGGCTCCTATTAAAAGAGAAAAGAAAAGACAGAGAGAAAATAAATTATTTTCTATACCCCAAAATCTGTAAACGTATAGGCTTTTCCCCGTCTTTTAAACAGGTGAGCAAAACACCAGAGAAAGTGGGAAAGGGTATTTAATTTCTTTTTTCTTTTTTTACTTTATTTTGTAATTGTGTTTAAGAACTTGGATACTAGCAAGAACTGCTGCCTTAAGGGGGCTTTGCTATGTAGAAGTAAAACTTTGGCCAGATTTTTATAAATAAATGATTCTAGTAAAGATTAAATGGTCAAATTTGTCATTTACATAGCAGCTGAGAGGACAGATTGCATTTAAAATAGCAATTGTAAAGTACTGGCTAAATTGTAAATGCAAATTTTATATTTATTCCTAAAAATCCATACTCCAGTTTCAGGCAGAACAACAGCTTTTCCACGTATAATTATTCTAGCCCTTTGACTTGTGAGATGAATGCTGCTTCATTTTAATGCTCTGGAGTTGACTGGGGCCTCTGTGCCATGGTAAGGAATCCATAGGACATGATGGCAGTAAAGGACTCTCAGAAATGCTTGACTGATAAGTACTTGGGTGATTACCATAAAATAGCTTCTATTACCTCCATGACATTAAGTTGATGTTGTAACCTTACTGTAAATGTGTGATTCTGTTCTGGACAGAGCTCTCTCAAGTAAAAAGTCTGGAAGACATTTAGCATTTGAGACAGATTGAGAATGGGTTTTTATATCTGAAATTGTTTTGAAAACATTTTTTATATTACGCACATAAAATTATCAGCTTTCAACGGAATTTTGGCATTTCCAATCCTAGGGAATAGTAGTTTTGTGTCTTTGTGATACGAAACATCCAATTTACTTGTAATAGTTCAATAAACCATCTGAACAGCAAATTCCCAAAACACTAACACTTTGGAAAGAAATCATGTTCATGTAAAATAACGTTACATACAGGTTTTTTGCGATATATACAGTTTTAAAAGGCTAAATCCCATCAAGAATAATTGATCCACTATAGTTGATCAAGTAAACAGTAAGACAGAAATTACGGAGTGAAAAAACAGACTGTAATGCACAAATGAATAAGGCATAGGCCCTGCCCTTTCACTGTCCAGAAGTCAGTAATCACTTACATAGACTTTTATGATTACAAAGACCGAATTCATGGACTTAAGAAGGGGTCACACTGAACAGCCTGGGGTTAAGAGCAAGGGTTCTGGGCCCAGGTGGCCTGAGTGGGCCCTGCACCAGCACCTTCCTTTCCCTGGGAAGCTTTCTACTTCTATAAGACAGTCGCAGCTGCTTCTGGTTCTTTAATAGCTGCATTTCTGCCTTCGAAAGAAAGAAAGAAAGAGCTGGATAAGTTGCTGGTTACCTCATCACTTGAAATAAGCTCCAGAAAGTGGCCGGAATGGTGTTTGCTTGCGACGCCCACAGGACAGCGAGCTGCGTCTTGGCCTTTTCCATGTCATCCAAGGTGGAGAGCATGTCATTCAGAAACCTGACCAGTTCTGACGTGTGGTCCCTCCTTCCCAGGCTCTCGTGCCTCAAGCCCTCCGCCAGCTTTTCCCGGGCGTGGTGTGCAGTCTTGAACACGTGAATGGGGAGGCCTGCTACCAGGGCCGGGAAGATTTTGTCAAATTCCTTAAAGTTGTCGAGTTTTTTCAGAATAAGTGCTTTTTGCACATCTTGTCCCATAAGATCTCTGCCGAAGAGAGTTAAATATCCAGCTTCGAACATCACTCGGTAGCAGAAGGCGTACATCCCCTCTGTCTCCCAGGCGGGTGTCTTAGGCTCAGGCCGGCCTGCAGGCCTCAGAACCCGCTGCAGGTTTTCCATCATGGTTTCTGTGAGGGAGTTCAAGGCATCGCCCTGCAGGGTTTTGATGAAAGCTTTGTTTATGTTATCGGTGGTATTTCCATCACTGGGGTCAATGCTTTTGTGTCCAAAGGCCTGGCAGTAAACAAAATGTGTGAAAAAAGAAATTAAACCCAACCCAGTGCGAGTAAATGGCTGAAAAACAAATTAGGTACAGTGGCACCTCGGTTTACGAACGCCGTAAACCCAGGAGTAAATGCTTCGGTTTTCGAACAGAACACTCCTCGGAAGTCGAACATGCCCACAGCTTCCGCTGAGGGCAAGATCCTGAGGCCCAGCTGTCGGCTGTGGATCCCTCAGTTTCTGAACCGTTCAGAACTCGGACAGTCTTCAGGAACAGATTGCATTCGAAAACCGAGGCACCACTGTATTTTCATAACTGAGAAAGTTTCATTTTTTTAAAAAAGTCTACTTGTTAAAAAGTGGGGGTGGAAATTGGCCTTTCCACATACTAAGTTTCATAGCATTTTACTAATAAATCGCCAAATCATACCTTTTCTTTATGGCCAAGTTTAAACCCCAGCTCCTCAGTGAAACTTCCTTCAACCACTCTGTCTGTTTCTTATATTTATTATGCTAGGGCATTTATTTGCACATGAATTTGCTACTAACTAATAATTTTAATCATTAGTTCTCTTTGATATTCTTTGTAGATGTATCTTAACCAGACTCAGTTTACTTAGAGCCAGACACCAGGTCTAATATTTCTTTGCAAAGACTCAGCTAATGTTGGTTAATTGTTTTCTCTATAATAGAGCCTCTTAGATTACATCTAAGTGATGCCAAAATATCTGGTCCATTCCTTAACACAGTTAAACAAAGGTCTGGCAAAATAATTGTTCTATGTTCAGTTCTCACCGCATGCACCCTAGGTGTTGTGTAGACAAGGTGGACATGAGTGAGTTTGCACCTGTCTTACTTCTACAGTGTCATCTGTCTCAGTAAAATATTTAATTTTTATTTCACCCTCATTAGCTGGCTAAGAAATAAAAAATCTATACCTATTTCAACTTTTTAAATGATTAGTACCAAATGGTTATATCTAATTTGATTATATGTCTAAAATTCTCCACGTAAGGGTAACTCTTCAACATCTCTAAATCCAAGTAGCTCAAAATGACTAAGTAAACTGACACATTAAAAAGTAGAAAGTAAGCAGAAAGCTGTATAAATGCAAAAGCGGTTACCTTTGCAGAAGTAGTGAAATGAAATTTTTTCCAATCAAAATATTTTCCATGGCACAGCACTTTCTGGTATGACAGGGGATTTGTGATGAAGTGGACGTAGTTTCCCATCAGTTTGCAGGTGAAAACATGACCATGTTTCCTTTGGTTTGCTCTGAGGAACTCAAGAGGATTGGCACCGAACTGCAGAGCACATCCCAGATACGGGATCAGGCCGTTCTCCAGGGGAGGTTCACCCGTTTTTCTGTAAGATGCAAAAATATGATGGTTATGGAAAAGTACACACTGTTTTATACTTATGCCAGGTTTTCCCATTTTTACTACTGACTTCAAAACTCTACAGTTTATAGATACTTTTTAGTGATATGGGGCACTCTCTTTTACTAAAATAATGGATTATATTAACCCAGCAAGGTGGATATGTTGGGGACAATGGTTACCAAGTCCACCCACTCATCCCTGCGCACATTCCGCAACGCTCGCCAAATACCCGCTACATTCACGTCACTTTCCCAACCATGAGGATGAAAGGATGAGCGGGGGCAACCAGATTATTGCTCTCGGGACAGACGCCAGTCCACAGGCTGGCATTTATATGTGTTCAAGCGCCGTTTGCCTAAGCATTCGGTTGTTTTCTTTAAAGGTACAGAATGCTGAATAGCAGAGAGCATTGCAGAATTTAGGCTTTCACAGTCGGCATGGTTCAAAGCTATTATTCTGTGATGACGGTTAAAGATAACAAGGATCTCATGTGAGAAATTAGCTTATTATAAAATAAAATTAAGTAATATACATATTGACAGAGTCACCTATTGTAATTCAATAATCTTCCATGCCATTTAAAATGTTTTATTAAGGAATATAAACCTTCCTGAAACCAATATAATAATGTATGTCAACTGTAACTGAAATAAAAAATGATAAAAAGTAAAGAACATAGGCCTAGCCAGGCATGGCTCAGGGGCTGAGCATCGGCCTAGGATCCAGGCGATCGAGGTTCGATTCCCGGTCAGGGCACATGCCCGGGTTGCGGGCTGCAGCCGATCAATGACTCTCTCATCATTGATGTTTCTAGCTCTCTCTCTCCCTCTCCTTTCCTCTCTCTGAAATCAATAAAGATATATTTAAAAAAAAAAAAGTAAAGAACATAAACATTTATTTTCCAACATAAACTACTATCCCTCCTGATAGAACAACGTAGCATAAAATAATTATTTTTATTTTCTTAGTTCGAAGATAAGTAGTTTAATTACAAATAGAAACTATCAGGCCTGAATTAAAACATTTTAAGGAATAAAAAAATACTTGTAAAAGGTATACAGCACATACACTCTGCATAGCTGAAGATATGCTGTTGGTAATTCTATCTTTTGGAGATTGACATAACAGAGAATATTTACATACTACCCCCCCCAAATACTCTAAGCCAATCAAAAATTTAACTATGGCTATGCCTCTGACTCTATTTGTATTTCTTGTATTCTTGAACCAGTTATAAATAAATGACACATGCAGATAAAGGTGATGTTCACATATACTTTGCAGTTTTCTAATTCATCATGGTCGAATATCTTTAATAATAAACACGAGTGACAGAGTGATCAGTGCAGGCCTTGTGCTCTTGTCTAAACTTAGGCCGAGGCCATACAGTGCACAATAACTAGCTGAAAAGAGAATATTTGTTTAGTAAGAGCATCTATTTGATCCACCTGATAGAAAGAAATCCTTTTCATTGCAGATTCCACTTACCACTTGTATCCCTACTAGTCCAGACTTCCTCTTTAAATACACACATAAACACACACAGAGATCTCAAAAAATTGCTGTCAGTTATGTTTACCAAGTTTGTGCATGTCTGCCTGACCATTGGTATGCCAAAACTAAAAAGAAACCTGTCATTAGATCTTCTGTTAGATATAATAAAAAGATACCCCTTTAAAATTTAAAATTTTTAAATTTTAATTTGAGAAGAAAATGTTAGTGTGTGTATGTACAGAAAGCCAAACTTATTGTATAACCATGAAAGTAAAAGGACATTAATCTAATGACCTTAGATGCAATTTAAAGATAAAACTTTCTTTACCTTCTCCTCTTTCCAAGGGTAAGCCACAGACAGCAGCACATTGCTACCACAATCCCCCAGATCAGAGAGATGGCCATCACTTTGCAAACCTAATGCAAAACCTCCGAGGAGGAGCCTCTGAAAAGTCAGGGTGTCGCTGACCAGAAGCTGCAGCTAGACTTTTTATACATGGTAAGATCTTGGACTTGAGTGACTAAAGCAAACAATTAACCATTTGTTCATCCTATTAGAAAAAAAACCAACTGACCTTGAACTAAGTCCACAGGTATCAGAAGAAGTTCCAAAACAATCAGAGACCTGCAATACTTGATAAGTTGAAGGTCTCTCCAACACATGTTGACTTAACATTCAGACCTGGGGATGACAGCTAATATTACAAGGTCTATATGCTTATAAAAAAAACCAAAAAACAAATAAACCTGTTTAGAATGAATGTATTAAATAGATATAAAATATAAAAATTGAAAGAAAAATAAGCATAAGTTATTACCAAGCCAATGATTTGACCTATTACCTTTTGAAGAAGAAATCAATTTAAATGATTTATGAGAGACACAGTGGTCAAGCTCAAAGGAAAAAGAACTGGGTGAAATGTTTCTGGGGCTTCGTGTTTCAGTGCTGTTACAAAATTCTGTTTTACTATATATAGTAACATTATACTTACCTAACACCCTGAAAAAAGTATCCCACATAAATACATCAGTTCATTTAAACAGTTTTATGTAAACATCAAACCTTTGTCAACCATGTGGGGGGAGGGGGATGGCGGTGGATGAGGGTATGGGGGGGATAAATGGTGATAGAAAAGAATATATATAGCTATTTTTTAAAAACTTTATCAATCATATTTTCCTAATTGAAAATATGTTTATTAATATTTGTAACTGTTAAAGTAACAATTTCATTTCAAATAACTTAAAACTATCTGAAACATATCTTGGTAGAAAGTGAAAGTCAATTCACAATTTACCTTCCCTACTACCCCCCACTCAGAGGTAACCACTGTTAACTGTTTGGTATATATCTTTTCAAGCTTTATTTCTATGTGCACATGTCTATTAATTGAGTACCTATTCTGTACCAAGAACTCTTCAAAGATATTCTGGTTACAGGTTTTCATAAGATGGACGGATTCTCTAATAGAGGCTCTATTTCAGTGGAGACAGATAATGAAGTGTGTCATGAATTAAATAAAACTAGGCATAGAAAGCTATTGGGGGATCAGAGCAACTTTAGATATGGTGATCAGGAAAAGGCTCTCCAAGGAAGTGATGGTTAAAATCTAGAATGACAAGAAGGGATTAGCCAAGCGAAAATCAGAAGGAAGAGAATTTCAGGAAGAGGGAGCACGAAATGCAAAGGTCCTGATCAAGAACGAACTTGGCCTGTTACTGCAGGATATCACAGTTAGAGAAAATGCCAGTCTAACATCCAAACAGCTCCTTAGAGTCACCTCTCAAACAAACAAACAAAAAAAACGAAATCAAGCAAACTAACACGTAAAGGGATGGATACATGGAACCTCTAAGTACTATCTCTGCAACTTCCTGTGAATCTATAATTACGTGGAAATTAAAAGATTTTCCAAATGGTAAAGGGGAAATACATTCCCAACCCCAGGAAATCTTTCTTAAGTCTTGTCTTTGCTCCCTCTCAAAACACCATAAACTCCTTTCAAATGCAGCCTGGTTAGTACTTCTCTCGATTTCCCTTCCCCTGATTTATTCTTATTGCCCTTTCACTTACTATCTCGCCTCTCCACGGCAAAAGCCCAGGAAACACACACACAGTTTTCTTTAGCGGGCTGAGGAAAAGCAGCAGCTTGAATATTTTTATTTATTTATTTCCTCGTTAGATATAGTTTACGTTTTCCTTCTGAGGATGTCACTTCTTGCTACTGTCACATGTCCGTGAGTGGTATCTGTCACACCCCTAATATTCTGCTTCTAATCTGGTGAGTAGGAATTCAGATGTTTGCTACAGTTGTCAAACTTGATAGGCTACAAGAAAGTACCTGAAAGGTTTCCTGATGAGTCAAGTGCACAGTTTTGTGCATGGATTTTATGGCACCTCAGTGTCAGGTGTTAAGTGAATGTTAGCTGAGTTGAATTCTTTTATATTCTGTTTGCTAGTGTTTGTTGAGAATTTTTGCATCTATATTCATGAAGAATATTGGTCGGTAGTTTATTTTACTTGTAATATCTTTATCTGATTTTGGTATCAGATAATACGGGGTCCATAGTGAGCTGGGAAGTGATCCCTCCTTTTCTAACATTAAAGAATTGTTATTTCTTGGTAGTAGAATTCACCAGTGAGGCTCTCTGGTTCTCAGCTTTTCTTTGTAGAAATTTTTTAAAATTTCAACTTCAATATTTTTTTTCTTATTACAGGTCTACTCAGATATTTTATTTCTTCCTGAGTCAGTTTTGATAGTTTGTTTCTTTCTAAAATATGTACATTTCTTCTGGGTTATCTGATTTATTTGCATACAATTGGTCTTAGCATTCCCTTATTTCTGTTTCCCTCTTTATTTCTGCAATGTGGTCATAACGTCCCCTCTTTTATTCTCCATTTTAGTAGTAATTGAATTTTCTCTCTCTGTACTTTTCTCTCTCTCCCCCCCCCATATAAATACATATCTTTATCTTTCTCTCTCTGTCTCTTTGTCAGTCTATCTAAAGGTTTGTCAATTTTGTTCATCTTTTCAAAGAATAAACTTTTGGTTTTGTTGATTTGTTGTTTTAGTCTCTATTTCATTTATTTCTCCTTTTTTAATTATTTCCTTCCTACTGCTTGCTTTGGGTTTATCTTGCTCTTATATCTTTTTCTAGGCTCTTAAGGTGAAAGATTAGGTTAATAATTTGAGATATTTCTGTTTTAATATAGGCAGTTATAAATTTCCATGTAAGCATTGTTTCTACTGCATTAATTTTTGGTATGTTGTTGTTTTTTTTATTTCATTCATCTTAAAGTAATTTCTACTTTGTGTTTTCTTCTCTGATGCATTGGTTATTTAAAAGTGTGTTACTTAGTTTACACATATTTGTGAATTTCCAAATTTTTTTTGTTATTGAATTCATTCCATCATGATTAGAGAACATACATTGTATGATTTCAGTTTTTTAAAATGTATTAAGACTTGTTTTATGGTCTAACATATATCTGTCCTAGAGTATATTCCACATGTACTTGAGACTTTGTACTCTGCTGTTGTTGTATGGAGTTTGTATATGTGTCTATTAAGTCTAGTTTGCTTATAATGTTGTTCAAGTCTTCTAGTTCCCTGTTGGCCTCTTATCTAGTTGTTACAAATATTATTGAAAGTTGGATATTGAATTTCCTAATTATTGTTTTTGAATTGTCTATTTCTCCCTTAAATTCTGTCTGTTTTGCTTCAGGTAACTTAGGACTTCTTTTCTTAGGTGCCTATATATTTATAATTGTTATAATTTCTTGAAGGATTGATCCTTTTATCATTCTAGAATATCTAGCAATACTTATGTCTTACATTTGCTTATTTTTTCTATTCATGGGCAGTTTTAGAAAATATTAAATATGTTCCAGCCATAGCACAAACCAAAAGGTAATATAAAAATGAGTTAAATTTTGGTCGTTTTAGAGTTTGTTCATTACTTTTTCCCCTAATGGACTAATAAATTTGCATGGGAATCTCTTTGGGGCTCGTTTTAAGAAGTTAGGGCTCATATCACCCTCTAGTGGACAACCACATACACTGACACTTCCCCTGCAGTTAAATTGGCGGAAACAACCAACTCTCAGGGAGGGAACTGCAAACCAAAATTAATTTTAGACTCTCAAAGAATAAAAAGCACTTATCTGAGCAAAAGGAACTGCAGCCTTGGAGACACAGATTTAGGTAGCAACCTAAATCGTGTCCCATCGAGACGAAAGGGGGGCCATCTTTTATAAAGAAAGTCTCCACCAAAGTGTCCAATCTTATGCAGATGAGGTGTCCAAATTGTGCAGCCCAAACTGGGCAGTTCTGATTGACCAGTATAGATGCAAACAAAGATACAATTAGTGTAGTTGTTTGAACAGGGCAGGTCTCAACCCATTGGTAGAAAGAGGAAACCAAGGTTTCCCTGCAGTGGTTGATTCAGATGGCTTATAAAACCTGGGTACAGTGCGGGCACCTCAGTCTGAGGTTCTTCCTGGTGCAGAGAGTATGTGGGGGACCCCTGTCAGCAAACGGCTGCTAGGCTCTTATTACTCATAAAATCTAAGCCTTCAGTTGATCACATGGGGAGTCCATCTCAGCAGATATTTATGGTTCACAGAGCCATGACCTAGAATCCTAGAAAGCACTGTATAAACCCAACTTAAAGAAACGGAACTCGCCCCACATTTTAGAGCCAGCAAAACCTGGGCTTGGGGAAACTTCCGTTTTGTTGTAAGCCAAGGCCCTGGTATTTACCAAACAAGGCAGTAAGACCATTAAGAGGCCAGACCCTGGAGAATCTCCAAACTTAAAGACAGCTGAGTAAGCCTACATGAGTTTTTCTGTTTTCACAGTGTCTGGACAAAGAGGAGAAACCCAGCGTGGGTCAGATAGCCAGTCACCACCACTGCTTGACTCCTGCTGACCGTGTGGTTATTTTGCCAGGTTGTGGTGCTGGGTCTATATGTAGTGTTTCCCCCCCTCTCATTGCCTTGAAGATTTTTCCTTTAACTTTGATTTTCAGCAGTTTGACAATGATACTTTTAGGGTTTCTTTCTTTCTTTCTTTTTTTAATCTCTACCTTGTACTGTTTCATTAATTTTGAAAAATTCTTGGCCATCATTGCTTCAAACATTTTTCTACTATTCTCTCACACTCTTCTTCTGGGACTCCAAGTACATGTATATTAGTTTGTTATTATCCCAAGTTGTTCTGTGTGGTTTTTTCCACCCTTTGTGTTTTAGTTTTTATATTTCCTATTGGCTTATTTCCAAGTCCACTGATTCATTCTTCTGTAGTTTCCTGGCTGCTATAAGCTCACTGAAGAAATTGTTCATTTCTGGTCTCATGTTTATTATTTCTAGCATTTCCACTTAACTGTTTTATAGCTTCTGTCTT